AGCTGGGAGGGAGGTGGTCGGGGGGGCAGCGATCGCTGCTCGGGAACTGGCTGGGTATCGGTTGGCAGGTGGTAAGCAACTGCATTGTGCGTCACTTGCTTTGTATATTATTATTATTGTTGTTGTTATTATTATTTTCCCTTCCTTTTCTGTCCTATTAAACTGTCTTTATCTCAACCCATGAATTTTACCTTTTTCCAATTCTCTCCCCCATCTCACTGGGGATGGGGGCGGGGAGTGAGCAAACGGCTCTGTGGTGTGTAGCTGCCTAGGGGTTAAACCACAACATGTACTACAATAGGGTATATACACAAAGGAGAAACTGAAAAATACACTTAAGAGTCTCAAAATCCAGTTACAGATTGCATCAGATCCACCTATTAAAAAGTGAGAACGTGGATGCTGACTCTCTGCTTCGTGCAGCTCTTGTCTATCCAAGTCCTTCTGCATGGATTACTTAGTATTTTTAAGGTAAGAAGCTATAAAATAAACAGTGCAGCTAAAACACTGAAGAGAGCTGTATATTCTCCCAAACAGTTAACCAGTGAACTAGTGGCACGTTCATCAGAAATTAATGCCAATAGCTGAACAAATCGTTACTCTTTTAAGAAATTCAAAATAAGATTTAATCAGATCATTATTTTATATTACTATGTTAAAATGGTTATAAATAGTCAACAGTAAAAAAGTATTAAGTACCCTGAATGCTACATGTGCATCACTGAGTAGTGGCCCCTCTATTTCGACGATATTCGTGCTTGTTTCTCCACCAATCAGCTGTACGCTGGCTTCAACACTTTCAGAGTTCTGGCACGCTGCACTCTCTGCTGGGTTTAATGCTTTTGCAAGAGTATCAAATGCCCTGTAAGATCAGAACAAACAAACAAACCCCAAAATTTCATTTTAGAGACCATTTTAATTTAGGAGGAACCTGCACATGTCTGAAACCTGTATTTAGATGTGTGTTTCAAAGAACCAGATTTGGAAAATAAACGTTAGTAGCATGCTTTTCCTGACACTCCACTGAACAAAATCCCTGAAAACTCCAACTTATAGTGGCTCTGAAAAAAAAATTAGCAGCACATCCTGTTCACACTAGTTGCCAACAAATTCACAGTTTTGACATATTGATTGTGCTGCTGAATCACAGTTTGCCTTTCAAGATCTCTTTAGTGATGTTTACTGAGAGTGCTGGCATGAGCATTTTGAGGACACGATCATCAGACTGCTGTTAAAGCAACTTAATGCATGTATAAATTTTACAGATTTTTGCTGCTATGAAGCACAATCAGAATAAGCTTTTTTTTTAAAGTAATGAGTTGTGGTTAGGTTATTCAACTTAATTTGAAGACTGTTTCAAAATATGTAAGAGAAAGCACTTTCATGCTTTTGATACCATCCTTAGTACCCTTTGATGTGGGGCAGTGACTCTTGTCACATGTACAAACTTTACAGGGGAGATGTCAGGACAAGCACAAATATATTACTCATTATTTTGCCGCTTGGTAACAGATCTGTTGTTTTTCTGTTCACGAATACATCTGAGAACCACAACTGATAATATCCTCAATCAAAAATATATATACTTGATCACTGCCTACAGACAGATGACATATCCTGAGAGCAGTATACAGTGTTGCATGAAAAACTTACACACTGAGGTCTGAAAACTTTACAAAAGCTGATTATCAGCTTGTTTGTAGAGCTGATTCTCAATTTATAGAGACCACAGAATCTTAAAATCACTAATTTAATGCCAAAGTCTGGAGTAGAACTTTGACACCTCTTCCCCCCCACTCCATAGCTAGCTATATTTATTAACATACTAAAAAAATCTGAATGTTTACTCTGTTTGACATAATCATTTACAACCAAACGACACACGACAATAAAAATGCTGCCGACACTGCCTCAGGCTAGAGACGGTAAATGAACTAGTTTTTGGTACTATATGAGCCTGTATGCCTTGATGTATACACGTGAGGGTGACTGGGGCAAGCACAAGTGGACTAAACAGCTGTAAGTGGACTACAGAGATATACCTGGGACATTTTCTGTCACTGGTATACAGAAAGTAGGCATAAAGAGAATGCATTCAGGGTAAGCTCTAGAAGTTATAATGGACTCCTGCTAGGAGATCTGAGTGTCAGGTCCTGTATGGCTCACTCTTGGCAGCCTTAGGCAGAATAGGCAAACCCAGCAGCTCAGTGGCAGCTGCTGCTTAGGAAAACTAGGGTCTCTGCAGGGCTCTTCATGTTGCAGAGACAGAAATGTAAGAGAGGAACAAGATCTCTCCTTTCCCCAAAAGGTAAATGTCATATGCATCTGCCACGATCCTGCATTTATTCTAATATAGGCTGAAGAGTCCTTTTGAAATAGGGTGGGCAGGTACACTGGTTAACCATGTCTGCCCGTAATACTTTGTTTCCAACTTACTCTTGAATGCTTGCTTTCAAAGAAATCTTCTCCCTCCTATCTCATAAACTGGCAGTATAAGCCAGCAGAAGTCAGTAGAAGCTTTGCTTTCTTGCAGCTCAGCACTATGGGTCCTTTTCATACGTGAAGCCCCAACATGAGCAACGATTGCAAGGTAAAACACCAAGGAAAAGAGAATCTAGAACAAAGCTTGCCTGGAAGCTATGAAAACCTAGCCCACAAAGTGAGAGGAAAAAAAGGTAAAATCAACATTAAAATACACGGTATTGATATCCTTTGTTAGAAACAACTTTGGTTCTCTTTTCATCAAGCTCAGTCACTAACAGATATATAGGACTGCTGATAAACTGTAAAAAATGAACATAGATAATGAAGCCATCAGAGGACAAGACATATAATATTACAATATAAAAGCAGTGGAATGCTAGCCGCAAAGTTGTACACTAAATTTGTGTCAGCAAAAGTGAAAGCTTAACTACTGTAGCTGCAAGCAATGAAATGTAAAAAAATACATGAAAGACACAGATGGATAAAACTGGCTCCCTGAAATCCCTTAAACTCCTTTTCTTCACTAAACATCTGTGTCTGTTAGATCAAGCTGGCATAGGGCCTGGCAAGGAAATCAAAGCTTTAGACAAAAATTTTAGTTTCTGCTTGGGTAACAACTTCCCTTTCACAGGAATATTTAACTTGAACCTCCCCACTGGAAATCTATTAGGTAACCTGCTGGACAAGAGTACACATTAAGCTGAGTCAGAGCTCTTTCTGGCTGAGAGAGCTTGATGCCTTTTCATAGACAGATTTTTAAAACTGAACAGAAACACTGAAGTTGGCAAAAGCAAGCATCTGCAAGTGCCAGCAAATAAAGAAATGCAAGACTACTGCATCTTTTTGAACAGCCATAGTATTGAATGAAGTTTATCAGCACGTACAACAATACTATTTACACAGCATATTCTTATATTCTTTACCTAGGAGGACACAGCAAAGGCCCAAATCAGCACATATATAAAGTCACACTGACTTTCTAAGCAGCATATAAAGAAAGGAGCAGAACAAATGCATTCTGCTTGCAATTATACAAAGGAGTAGAGACCGTAGGGGAATCCTGTATTTCAGTCAGTACAAACTACTTCACTATATACCAATCTTTTTTTCCTTGATGCATTTACTCCACATACACATTTTCAAAACAGCATGTACAATGTAGATGGTGTGTAAAGGAATATTGCTGGGACAGCTGTCAAAAATTTGCATGAGATGACAACCAAGGAAGAACACGATTGTGATTGACAGAATAACTGAGTACATACTACACAGAATATCTTACACATATGCTCACCAAAATGGCTCACTTAAAACCAGTGCAAGACAAAAGTTTGTAAGATTATTAGTGAATGTATTTGTATTGATGGTGAGAATTCTGTGACTTCTGTGTAGAAATAAAATGCTTTTCAAGCTTTTAAGGTGATTAATAGTTACAGGCATTAAACTACTTACACAAATGAGATCTCTAAGAAACAGTTTTCCAGGATGATACAAAGTACTGAGACTATAGTACAAGATTTAACACACGTTATTAAGGCCAACCAAAAGGTAAGAAAATCAGCTGTAACATTTACATTGAAATTAATTTAAAGTACAAACAACTAAAAGTATTTATTTCTCAAATGGAACTTCCTTAAGATTTCACTTGGAAGAATCTTAAAAGATTTATGTTCTACATGAGCTTAGGCTGTTATTACTATTATTTTTAATGCAGATAAATTTCCTACACTGCGCTGATTTAATTAATGGTCTGAATTGACAGAGACCTTCTTGGAAAGAATAGTATTTTCAAGAGTAACATGCCTTACCTTGTAACATCACTACCAGCTTGTTCTTCTTGCTGGAGTTCAGATAATGATGCATCTCCGTTACTTAAACTCTCAATCATAGATAGCTCTGTACTGCTTTGTGACATGTCTTTGCATTTACTGAGATTTGCTAATGAAGTCACCACGTTTGCCAGTGTACTTAAATCTCCCTGACATGCTTCAACCTAAGGGAAAAGTATAGCGTTTAATTCTCTCATATTGGCAGCAGTTAACGTGCAACAGAAGAATCTAACTTTTACATAAATGAAGAATTGAGCATGTGAATAGACCTGCAAGAAAATTATTGTTTTCAGTAAAGGGATAATCATAATGCAGCAATTAGACACCGCACTGCTTCTAAAATATGAAATATTTAGACATTTACTTTTACAAGTAATAGCTATCTATTTCTTACAGAAAGAATGCCACAGATGGTAAGCAACTGCAGAAAGAGAATTTATCATTGCCACTCACTAGTCAGTCACCAGGACTCTAAGACTGCACTAGATTATATTTTTAGCATCTTCCTTCCTTCCTCATGTAAATGAGTCAGTAGTAATAGGGTAGCAAAACATTCGAAAAGAAGGAATGGATACAAAGTCGCCTTTAAAAGCAAGCAGAAAAATAATTCTGCTGCAGCCTTTTTGGTTTTTATATCTTTATTTAACTGCAAGGGAAGAAGGTGATTCAGTACTGACCAGCAACTCAGAGAGGCAGTAAGACATGTTTTCCCACCTGCCCCACAAAAAAAAATTAATAAGGGAAGTGCATGATTACAGACAAGGATGCTGCTGCTAACACAAGTATGCTACATGTCATTTAGCTTGCATTGTCATACTCTACAGACAGAGCCAGAAAAGTGAAATGCAATAAACAACTTCTGATGGGGCCCTTTGCAGACAGAGCAAGCGAGGCAAAATGCATGAAAACAGTATGAGGTCATTTAATATCAGCTAGAAAAATAAAAAAGCTTCCTACTGTGCATGTGTAGGGAAGTTACCACATGGCTTTAGTGGATCAGTAAGTGTAACAAAATGGTAACAAAGGAAAACTAGCTCAGAAATAAGATTGTTGCTGAGATAGCTCTTATTAGCTTTGCAAAAAAACTAGCAATTCAGGGTGGAAAAACTTAATAGTATTCATGAAATAGGAAAAACCAGCTCAGTCGTAAGAATGTTGCTGAGATAGCTCTTAATAGCTTTGCAAAAAAAAATAGCAATTTTGGGGAAAAAACCTAACAGTATTCATGAAATGCACTGTGATAATGCCATGCGATGTTCTGCGAACACCTCACTTTGTTGGTACAAAAGAAATATGTGTCAGGATTGCCCAATACAAAGAAAAATAATGCAGCCCTTAAAGCTCTCTAAAAATGCAGAGGGAGGCATTTACTTTGTAGAGTTTTTAGTGTTCTTACTATGCAAGGCTAAAAGCATTCTTGTGAAGAGAAGGCATTTGCAACACTGGCTAATGTTGTAAAGGATTGTTTTAAAAATGAATTTAACAAAACAGAAGTACAACAAAACAGAACACCCTTCCCTCCCTACATACACAATTACAGCAATCACATCACTTAATATATTGGGCATATCATTTCATACCTTATCTGGAGTCATCAGCACAGTAGGCTCACTTTTTATTGCAGACTGATGAATGTTAACAAACATTCCCGATTCCAGCAGACCTGTTGATCTGACACAAAACAGCACACATTTTAATTTTGATTAATTTTAAGATTAATTTTTCCTGTTTCAGGAATTTGCATTTCAGTAGAATTTACATACCTTGCTGTTTCATTGTCTGTTACAAAAGTTGGAGTTGCAGCTAATGGACTACGAAGATCTTTCCGAATATAAATCTTTTCTGTAGAAGCTGCACAGTTGGAAGATTTTTCTCTTGACACTTCAATAGGTTTCCTCTCACACTGCACAGCTAACAAAACAATATGCAACTATAAAGTCACATCCCAAATTACAGACTAAGAAATAATCCTTTTTTCCCTCTATTTAATCTGCAATTTTAATAATTATTCTGAAAATAACTAAAAAAAAAAAAATCCCGTAACCAATAAGCTAACAACTTGGGTAAAAACCAACACATGGATTTGATTTGTTCTTAATGAAATGATGTAGTAGTCAAAGTCTGAGATCAAACATATAGACACTAAATTTTTCGAGTTACAATTAAGGGAGAAATCCCCTTATACCTTCTTTTTAATTTGGATCTTTAAGTGGAGGCTTATGGCTTCTCCTCCTCTCAATTTCACTACCCCACACTCTCAGTTCATTCATAAGGGACTTGTGGTACCTTTTTCCATGGATTGTGGGTCTGGGTTGAACCCACATAACTTTATGCACTTAAAGAAGCTTCTCAAGTTAGGATCTTAGACAATACAGAGGGAAAAGGCCATTCACAAAGTTCAGTTCAGAACATTTAAGATCTGGACAACAATGACTGACTTCAGAGAAGCAGCAGATTTTTAATTTGAATAGCTCAGTGAAACTAGGTGGAATGAATCTGGACCTTAGCCTGCAGATACATCACCTTGCTTTGGATGGATTAGGGAACATTAAAATGAAACCTGCAGTATTATACCCTATGGGGAACTCTCTAGCTCTATGGAATAAAGCCAAAAGAAACTGGTTTACAGTTTGATTTTAAAAGTTTAAAAGGAAAATTTAATTTCTGGAAAAATAACAGTAACACAACATTGTTACTGTAAAACTTAATTAATAAATGGTATTTACAAAGTACAAATCTTTTAAAAATACACAGTAAGTTGTTCTTCCACAATTTTAAAGCGGTGCAAGTCATTTTATAGGCTGGAATAAGATCCTGAAGAGAGTCACAAACCAGGCCCATATGTAATTTAAAATACGCATCAATTCACCAGTCTGATAAGCACTGGCTACTGGCTAGCAGAGCCTCTTTAATATTGTACTGCACATAGAAACTGTTTAAGCCTATAAAGAGAATCCTGAATGTTCATTATTTTAAAACACAAAGGCAAATAGGAAAAAAACTTTTTTTTTCCAATTATGCAGTTTTGGAAAATGTGTAACTAAAGAAAAAAATTCAAAAGCTTTCAACTTAGTAGTAGACTGTGACGCTATTTGAATTTTTACATTGATAAGTATCATAAAACCAAATGTCATAATATCATCAAGTATTGACAATGCCATTAAAGCTAGCCCATAACCCACGAATGGTGCTTTGAAAGGGTGGGAGATGGAGGCAAAAGTCTTTTATCTTCCTCTGCTAAGCCTGAGCTCACTAGCTGGATCTGAGTTGCTGAGAAAGGGCCAAGGCTTCTTCAGGGGACAAATAACCCCACTAAGGGAACTACAGTACAAGACGGTGCTGAGTTTTCTTTCCTCTCCCCACTCCACTGAGGAATGAGACTTCTTATCCCAAAACAACCCTCTCCTCTGCTCAGTATTCCCCCACAACCCAGAGATCCTTTTCCTGCCTTCTGACCCTCAACCCCAGCGATTCTGTTCTGTTTGAAAAGTCTTCTGCGGAGGGGCAAAGTACTGTCAGCTGAACTAGACGGTAAAGGGGTAAAGATCCACTTTCACTGCCCCAGGTTTTCCTCCCATTCTGAATTAATTTCCTCTGTGCTGGAAAAGTGTTACTGGTTTCTGCTGACAGAATCAGGGCTGTAAGGAGGGGAATGTCCACAGAGGTTCAAGAGGGTCAGCAAAATAGAGCTGAATGGCAGAGAGCAGAGCACAAGACTAATACTGTGCGTATAGCAACAGCATGGCAGTATCGGGGCTGAAGAATTCATCTATTGCTTGATTTGCTGCATATTTAGTATTCTAATACTGCTGTGGTATTACAGTATCACTACACCCAAGGTATGGAAATCCAAAAAGAAACTTGAAATCTACAGGAATCAATAAGAACTGACCTCTAGATCACTATGGATCTCTGCCTTGTGAATAACTGCCTCTGCAGAGCTTTGCTAAGAGTGAACAGCAATTGTCAGCAACCTCAGTTGTGGAAAAAGTGACAAGAAGGCAGAAGGACTCGGAACATTCAGTAGCTTCATTTACATAGAAAAATTAAACTGCATATATAAAAACCGAACATGAAGACATGCTTGACATTTGCCACCTAAGAATAACAATTCATTCACTTTTACCACATGCACTGTGCTTACTGTCAAGCAGTATGTACACTTGAAAACATTTCAGACAACTGATACACCAAATTTGCACAATTCTTTAAAGGAAAAAGATACAATGATTTAAAAATATCAAATCACAATAACCATTTGTATTAATACAAACCGTATCTTTTGTAGCACAAACTTTAACATAGCTGCCAGCTAAAATAATTTACACTTATTCAGACTTACAATCTTGTTTCATCCCAAATGCGATGCATCTCTGCAGCCTACAGTACTGACATCGATTCCGGTGGTGTTTGTTGATGACACAGTCTTTTGTTCCTCGGCATGAATAAACTAAATTCTTCCGTATACTCCTTTTAAAGAATCCTTTGCATCCCTCACAAGTTACTGCTCCATAGTGACGCCCTAATTACAGAACAACATAAATCACTACATTAATTTTACACTGTAATATTATATTTTTAGAGTTTATATTTATTACAAACAAAGTATTTGCTATTTTACCCAGAAAAAGAACACTTTTTTCCCCCATAGGTTACAGATCTTAAACTATATCGTGGCTACAAAACAACATAAAAAAAGGCAAGTGAACCATTTTTCTAGTTCAAAGCACTTAAAACAGGACAGATTTTACAAATAGGCAAGTTGCTTATTAAATTCTTGCTGAATCTGTTGACAGCAGTGTTTAAAAAAGCTAAGAAAACAGGTTAGTAAGAACATATAAGAAACTCTTTTCATTTATACATTCTTTAGCAATTGTTTTAAAATGTCCCTACAGTCAAGCCCTGTTACTGCTCATTAGAAATTCAGCTGTTGAAATTGTATGCATTCAATCTAATGGAACCATGGAAAGCAAAAACATGGCATTTGACAGCAGTAGGTAATCACTTCAAAGCTTTACTTTCACCTTTCATTTTCCTAAGAGGGTAACGGTACTTCCTTATGTTCTTTCAGTAAAACTTCAATGAGAAAATAATCTAAAATAGCTAATTTTTTTTTTTAAAATCAGTCCTTCTGTGAATTTTCTAATATATAATACTAACATATAAACATTTCTAGGATATACTACAGAAAAAAGTCAAGTTTAAAAATTATTTTTCAGAAGTAAATTGTTTTGATTCTGCTATAGCACAAAATACAAGTATTACTAAAAAGTACTGGTTTTGATTAAGGCCTGCTTGGCAATTCCAACAATTTTAATTCTATGATCCTGAAGAAAAAAAAAAAAGTTCTAAAACCGAAGATGACTGACAAACACTCAAAATACATACTGCGGAGGCACCAAAGCTGCTCTTTGAAGTAAGTAGGGCATATTACAGAATTATATCTCAAATATGAACTAAAGTAAAGGAAAATATATTTTTAGATTCTTTTCTCACTCCTCACAAACCCTTTTTTAGATACATTAATCTTGCCTGTCTGAACTTTGTAGAAATTCTTACAGGTTTTCTAGATTCCTTTACTACAACCATATTACCACACTATTAAAATGTAAAATTTATAAATATTTATTTTATATTAAAAGAGTATCACTAACAGTAACATTTTAACAGCAGCTGGATTGCAAATACTTAATTTCCATCCTGCAAGGTGCCTGGGCTGCTTCTGCATGTCCTCTTTGAAGTAGCTTCTTGGACTTCAGCTTGGAGGTGACTGCAAAGCAGTTTGTGCGACACTGCTTGTCACTGCTCCCCAGAACCTGCAGCTGCTCAGGGAAACATGGCACTCTCCCCAGATTCACTACCAGTGCTCGACAACCCTGGGCCAGGACAGGAGGATCATCTCCTGGGATCTCCAGCCTCTCAAGGAATACTCCAGCCCTCCACTGGGGAGCCGGAAGAGTCTTGCCAGTTGGAACAGACTAATCAGATCTTTGGCTTCTGTTTGGCAGAAATTTCCTTTGAGATGGGTGAAATCTGACATCTATTTAGAGCTCTAGAACTATCATTTTTACGTTAAACTTTGCTGCAATAGAAAATTTTTAATTTATTTTATTTTCTAAGCAGTTTGCTCTACATCCTACTACTTCTCATGATGATATCCTAACATTAACTACTTCTTCCCCCTGGCCCCTCATTTTTATACACTTTATTTCTATTGCTTCCCAAAAGGAGCATTTAACTGCAGCTGTTGTATTTTGGTATTACTGGAGGTCTACCACACAGACTTCACTCAGAAAAACCTTAAGAATTTTCTGATGGAGCAACCATTTCCCTA